TAAGACTAGACGATCATATGAAAAACAATTGGTTAGGGACTCTAGATATAGTTCGAAACAGTTATTCTCGTATACAAAAAGGCGAACTCAGAGAAGCGATGGAATTCCATCACTTATGATACAAGAAAATCCATTAATCTTGGCAGAAAATGATATCGAAAAAGCTGAAGCTTTATTGGAATATTTCAGTAAAGTGTTTGCTATCGGTAATGAAGAATAACCAACGATTCATTATGATCGCGGTGGCTCGCTGATTGACCCTGTAGTCAGCATCTCAAAGCTGATAAGTCAAGTGGTCCTGATGATATTCATTTTAGGATTATGAAAACCAAATCAGATGTATTTCCTGAACCATTAGCGATACTGTTTGACATGTCTCTAATGCAGTCCACACTGCCCAGAGACTGGAAAGACGCCATACTAAGTCCGGTGTATAAAGCTGGGAGTAGGAATTTAGTTAGTAAATATAGGCCCGTTAGCTTAACTAGTGCAGCTGTAAAACTGATGAAAAGATCATTCGGATATCTGTTATAAACTATGTTGAAGGGCATGGTCTTTTCTCCAGGGAACAACATGGCTTTTGGAAAGGCCTATCTTGCTTGACAAATCTCATTGCAAGAGAAGATTGGACTGCGACGAACGATATGAATATTTCTGTAGATGTGACCTTCATAGATCTAAGTAAGGCCTTCGATAAGGTCTCTCATTCTGGTCTTAAAGTCAAACTGGAACGTTAAGGAATCCATTACGTAGTTTGGATAAGTAACTTTCTCCATGACAGGAGACAAAGGGTAAGGGTTAATAGGGCTCTCTCCTCGTGAATACCTGTAAAAAGTGGATTTCCCCAAGGTATAGTCCTCGGTCCTCTTCCCTTTTTACTTCATGTAAATGAATTACCAACTGTAGCAAAATCACCCGTTCTACTCTTCGCTGATGACATAAAAATTTGGAGACCCATACACAGTTTGTCAGATAGAATAGTACCGCAGGATAATCTCAACTGACTGGTGGCATGGATGGTCACTAAAAGTGAATCCTAAAAAGAGTGTTGTGATGCAATTAAATAACTGATGATTCGTATTACTACACAATATATGGATTCGTGCTACACAAAGTAAGAAACTATAAACATTTATGGGTCATATTAAGCAGTAATCTCAAAACCACTAGTCACTGTAAGGCTGCTGCTGCGAAAGGCTATAGGGTATTATTGTCTATTCGCAGGTCTGTCCAGCATTTTGATGATGAAATGTTCAGATTGCTATACCCGATTTATGTGCGACCACATTTAGAATACGGGATTCAAGCAGCGCGTCCTTGTTTCAAGTATGAAGCAGATATGCTAGAAAGAGTCCAACGACGAGGTACTAAGATGGTACAAGCTCTATCTGGTCTATCTTATAAAGACAGAGTGAGACAACTTAACTTATTTCCGTTATCTTACCGTAGAGTACGCGGGTGATCTATTATTGGCTTATCGTATACTGAACGATGACCTTGGTATCAACATGCCTCAACTTTTACTTCCGTCTACGACTGATCATTTGAGAGGACATTCAAAAAAAGTTCAAAAACCGAGATCAAATCGTTTACGTCTGGAGTTTCGTTTCTCGAACCGAGTAGTGAATTGCTGGAATTCACTACCGGAACACGTAATATCAGCACCTTCTGTTCAGTTTCAGTTTCAGTTTGGGAAGGACAGGAGGCTTGATGGCCTATGTTAGTCCTGGCAATGGTGGTCTCTCAGTTGATCCAACTTTCTTTTGAAAGAGTCGACGGATGGAGCCTCAACCACGTGCTAAGGTAGTGAATTCCACTCGTTGATGATTCGATGGGAAAGTCGATAGTCAGCTGACAAGCAATTTGTTCTCGGCTTGTGAACTTTTTTGGAGTGTCCTCGTAAATTCTCTGTTTTGGAAGACAAGAAAAATGAGGGCATGTTAGGTGCAAATTTATCACTAAGCAATTTGTAGACTGTAATCAAGTCGCCTCTAGTTCTGCGATATGACAACGGGAAAAGGTTCAGCTTGGCCAGTCGAGATTCATACGGAAGCTTCTCTATACCGGGAACCAGCTTAGTTGCCGTTCTCTGAACCTTTTCCAGAAGCTCACTGTCTTTTTTAAGCAGTGGCTAGCCGCTTGTATGCAGTACTCAAGTTTAGGACGAACAAACACTGTATACAAAGTCAAAAACGTCTTAGCGTCGACATGACTAAAAGCTCTACGTATTGACCATAAGGTTCTAAAACCTTTGGCGACTATTGCACGGCAGTGTGCAGTAGTCTTTAAGTCTTGACTAACGATAACTCCTAAGTCATTATATGTCTGGACGACAGGTAGCTCAGAGTTATTCATCGTGTATGTATCTGTGCCTTGATGACCGATATGCATCACAACACACTTGGAAGTATTTATCGGCAACTGCCATGTTTGAGACCATTCAGATAATTTCTTCAGGTCATTTTGAAGTTCTAAGCTATCACTCTTACATCCTATCGTTCTCCATATCCTGACATCGTCAGCATATAGCAAGACCGATGATGATAGGAGACAAGGAAGGTCATTTACATACAAGAGGAATAGCACTGGCCCCATCAATTTACAATTATGCCGATAACCTGTCCATATGTGGTTTCTAATTGCATCTGTATTAGTAGGCTAACTGAAAGAACAAAAGTATTACCGTGGAGAAGAATTCCGACTAGTGTTCCAGTTATTTCGATACGGTTTATTTAGTTACGGGGAGATTTTCTCAACCCCATTTTTACTTGACTGTGATAGAATTCAGTAATACTACTAATACTCATGAATGGATGTCAAGACAAAAGTTAAATACGTGAGTGATAATTATATGAATTTTGGACAGATAGCTAAAAACAAATCGTTAAACATGAGTGTATTCGTAAGAGAAATGCTACAGACTCAATGTTCTGGTCTGCGGCAGACTATTTATTTTTATTTATACTTGCCGGCTGATTGGGCATACACGTTAGTTGCAAGTATGCAGTTTATCATAAGGCGGATTACGATTTAATTGAGATGTAGTGGTTATACGTTACTGAAATCAGTTAAGCCTATGTGTCATATTACTAGGTGATGTGGTGCTGCAGGAGGTACTGGTTTACTATTTATTTGAACACATGAATATTAGTACAGGAGTGAGCCAAATATATATGCGCCACACAAAACAATGAGAATTCGAAGAGAAATAGAAAAAAAGCTAAGGAGCGCAAAAAAAGAGAACAACAACGAAGAGTGGTGTAAGGTAGTATGGTAGAAATGAGGGAACGGAAAGGTACAATCCGAAGAAATCTTTCAGGAAAGGGAGACACAACTACTTTTTATGAAGAAAGTAACACAAGCCGGCCCTTTGCAGCTTTCTTTCATACCACGATACCATGTCATATACTGACCACCTCTCCGCCTCTTCCAACCAATGCGAGCGTCGACAAACAATGCACGACGTGGAATTCTCTGGGACGACATTCGTAGAACATGTCGAAGCCACCGAAGTCGGCCTTTCAAGATGGTGACACCAACTGAATTATCATCTCTGTGCCCGAACACACGATGCCCAACCTCTGCATTACTAACATGGTTTTGCCACTGAATGTCAGCAATCCTTCGGAGACAGCGATGATCGAACACTGAGTGTCGTCTCACGCCCTCAACTCAGAGAGGCCAGGTTTCACAAGCATAGAGCAGAACTGCTCTCACCGACACGGTGTAAATCCGACCTTTTACAGCCAGACCAACATCACGAAGGCGCCAAAGGTGGCCCAGAATGGCATAAGCCACTCTGGCTTTCACTATACGTGCATTGATCTCATCACTCACACCCCCACCAGCACTTATGCAGCTACCCAGATACATGAACTTCTCGACTACTTCTATCTGCTCACCATCCAGAGTGACTACAGGATTTGAATCCTACCAGTCTTGTAGAAGTACTTCGCACTTCGAAGGTGCAAAGCACATACCATACATACGGACACTGATTGCCAACTGATTAAGTGCTGATTGCATGCCTTGGGCATTATCGCACAGTAAGACAATATCGTCCGCATACTCAAGGTCGAGAAGTCTTTCTCCAGGCAACAGATCCACGTCACCATTACTTACATTCATCAGAGCTGTTTCCAGAATGTCAACGATGGCAAAATTGAAGAGGAATGGTGAGATCAGGGAACCCTGCCTAACCCCACTGCTCGAATGGAACAACGGAGAGAGGTGGTTGTATGCCCTCACTCTGCTTGAGGTGTTTTTATATAGGGCTATTAGGATGTTAATAAACTTCTCAGGCACACCCTTCTTCAATAGACAATCCCAGAGAACAGTCCTGTCCAACGAATTGAAGGCAGCCCTGATGTCAAGAAACACTACGATTGTTGGCCTTTGATAAGTATGGCGGTGTTCTAACATTTGGCGGAGGGTGAAGAAATGATCAATACATCCTCGACCAGAACGAAACCCAGCCTGCTCCTCGCGATTCAATCTTTCTCGGGTTTTGAACAACCTACGAAGTATGACGGAAGCCAATAGCTTGGACGCAATCGGAAGTAGACTTATCCCCCGATAGTTGTTACAGGAACAACGTGAACCCTTTTCAAAGATAGGGACAACTATCGACTCATTCCATGACGTTGATAAACCTTCTAGTTCCCAAACCTTTGTAAACAACGTCGTCAATTCCTTAGTCAGATAGTCACCACCAACTTTAAAAAGAGCCGGAGGTAAGTTATCTGGGCCAGGTGATTTGTAACGCTTCAAGGGTTGGAGTTCCTTGAGGACTTCCGTCCCATTCGGTGGATTAGTCGTCACCAGCCATGGAGGGTGTTGTAACGGGTGTGTGACTGCAGGTTTTAGATACGCAGCGTATTTATCGATCGCGATCTGTGACAGTGACACGGAAAACACGTACGGACGACCTAGTGCCCTGATTGGCCCTGCTTCGCTGTCCGTCCTAGCCCAGTTGAGTGAAGAACACAAGTCACAGCCTCGGAGTTATGAATCATTGTATTTCAAACATACTCTATTTATATACCAAGCAAACAACCCACATCGTACCATAAAATAGGAAACAACATTTGTACAATATTTAACAAGTGAAATAAACATCGACCAATAAGAAATGTACATTTAAGGTTCAAGGACACCATTGAACTTAACATGGTAATTATTGGTCTCTTTTTCCGACTATCCCAACACCTCCTCTTTTTCGAAAGATGCGGAGTTCATATCTGCGTTTTAAAATTTTCTGCGTCCGTCCTCCCCCGCGAAATAACGTTGGGTCCTCATATACCCAAGTAATAGTTAGTCTGACTCTATTTAAAGCATATTTCGCGCATTGAGTAGAGGGTTCACTAAAACTGACTAGATGATGAGGATTAGCGACACCAGACATGAGGTCATTAAGGTTTGATTTTGGTGCAACATATTCTTCAGACCTCTCCAGAATTCCATCACTGGATAATAGGTCACTAAAATAGACAGCATCTTTGAAATTCGTACTGGATTTCTGACCATTATTTGATGCACGGGAAACATTTTCTGGCACGAGAGGTTCTTCTTGTAAGCTGGATACCTCACATGTTTCAGGCACAGTGGGATTTGAACCCACAACAGGGCATGCTTCTGAATTGGGCACTTCTGGATCGCTGGACGGATTATGAGCGACTGCCTCATTTGCATTACTGATCATGAGGGATTCATAGAGGCTTTTGTTTTTATCTTCATATGTCCTGCAGTCATTCTCGAGTTCAGTTTGTAAGTGAGAAATGAAATCATCAGTTTCTTTCACATCTCCGAAACATGAGAGATCTAGCAGTCGCGTTCGTAAATAGTCCAAAACACGCTGTTGCTGGCGATATAGTAGTAGCTGCAATTGATCGGGAAGGCTAGTCATTTTCTGAGTCAGCAGGGTAATGAGAAATACTGTAATGGATTAACAACCAATGATTCCCAAGGACGCCGATGACAAATCTGGATACTGATTGGTCAAAATAATTATGTTGAATCTCGTCCAATTAGAGGGTTCAAAATTTTCTCTACCCCGTCGCCAATTGTTGTAACGGGTGTGAGTGACTGCAGGGGGTTTGATACGCAGCGTTTTTATCGATCGCGATCTGTGACAGTGACACGGAAAACACGTACGGACGACCTAGTGCCCTGATTGGCCCTGCTTCGCTGTCCGTCCTAGCCCAGTTGAGTGAAGAACACAAGTCACAGCCTCGGAGTTATGAATCATTGTATTTCAAACATACTCTATTTATATACCAAGCAAACAACCCACATCGTACCATAAAATAGGAAACAACATTTGTACAATATTTAACAAGTGAAATAAACATCGACCAATAAGAAATGTACATTTAAGGTTCAAGGACACCATTGAACTTAACATGGTAATTATTGGTCTCTTTTTCCGACTATCCCAACAGAGGGCAGGACAGTCCGACCGATGTTGCCGGAGCAGCAGGCCAGTTGAACTGCCCTTCGAAAAATTCTGCCCACCGTCCAAGCCGTCGATGTATGTTAGTGATTGGCATCCCGTCATTCTTGCAGATTGTTTCACTCACACCAGACGTCTTGCCGCCAGTGGCTCAGATGAGTTGGAAGGGCTTCCGGTAGTTACCAGATGCAGCTGCTGCTTCCAGCTCATTAGCACGCTCCGACCATTATCAGGCTTCTCGGTCCGCACGCAAGCTTTGCACAATTTCATTACGTAACATCCTTTGTTTGTGGTCAAACTCACGGCCACCCGGAGTAGACCGACGGGTTTCAGTGAGTTGTAAGGAGCTTGAAGAAACCCAGTGCTTATAAGCGGGACGTTTCGCAAACTCACAACTGACTGTACCCGCCATTTTCCTGGCGTCATGCAATTGCAACCAATGCTCATCTATACGTTTCGGTGGAATGGTAGCTAGCCTAGAAGCTAGCTCGGTTCGATACTTACTTGCAACAGAAGTTGCAACCAGCTTGCTAATATCAATCGATATGAAGACTTTCCAAAGACATAGCCAGCCCTATCTGTTGTGCGACCTGCATAAATGTGCGAACGTTGAAGGCAGCCAGTTTGAATGGTGCACGTGGTTTCACAAAAACTGCTTCAGTTCTCGTATTCGGTGGTAACATACAATTTTCAACCGGACAGTGACTCGAGAACGTTTAGATAGAGTCGAATTTCCACCACAGACGAGCTGCTGTACAAGTCGAAAAAAATAAGTATAGACAGAGTAGGAATAAAAGAGGATGAATAATGATGTAGTAAATAATAATAGTAATAATGATAATAATAATAATAATAACAATGATAATAATAGCAATAATAATAATTGAATCATTTGAATGTTCGTCGAAGCAAGAGAATTAGTTTCCAACGATTGGTTCATACGCCATTTGTTCCCGCAGGATACTGGAGCCCATGTGCACCATTGGTTTGGGATCCGGTTAAAGCGCCGGACACTCGCTCTTCGTCCTCTCATTTTCGTAAACAACACCCCCGCCACGAGAGGGCAGTGAGTAGGACATCCCTGGCAGAGGCTGTATACGCGTGGCCGTGTGAGAGTATTTCGAGTGGTGGGCGAACTGTCCCCACTCTCGGCCGTACCAGGGCATTCGGGGGCTAAATATGATTTTACAAGATGATTAACAGTGAGTGATGCTCATGTGATTATCAGGGAGAACACAAGTTGTAACCAAGGGGAGTACACTACCAACTCACGTCTATTTTAATGGCTTGAACCTTAGTCAGTGTTGGGGTAAATTTGACATTGATGTTTTCAGTTTTCAGGAGATTTGCTCGACTGCTTATACTGTTTATTTGCATGCATGATTGTGTCGCTAAACCTCTAATTAGACTGACAAGGTTTTGAGATAATAACTGAATGAGAAACTGATAAAGAAACATACTGTAATCATCGGTAGCGAATGAAGATAAAAGAAAAACAGCACTAGTGATAATTATTAGTCGTTTTGCTGACTGATTTTGTTAATAGTTTCATTAATATTATCAATCATATTACGTGATTGTCAAGTCATGACAATGCTTTATGACGATATCCTGAAACTATTATGTTTAACTAGCTATAGTGTTGATTGAGGATTAGTCAGTGGAAAAAATAGGTATTTCTGCTTAAGGTGATTCGAAATTATCAGAAATTTATAACGTTACAGAATTCGAGACGCCTAATTATATTATAAATTTCAATTCAGAAATATTCGTTTGGTGTTAATTTTAGTAGGCTACAGAGTTTTGACTTTAAAGGTTTGTTTAGCCAACAGCTACCTGAGGATTTAGTTATTTTACTAATGCAGTTGATAGTACCTAAATTTGTAATCTTATAACCTAAACTATGTTCGCATTTTAGGCTGCTAATATGATAAACCAATCCATAAACCCAAATACGACTAGCAACAACGACTATGATGGGTTTATTGATAAATATTAAAGGCGATCCAGATGATTTTTGAATTTAGAAGACATGAAGATATAGTACAACGTATGTACGGGCCAGGTTAACAAGTTGTTGACGTATATGGCAATTTGAAAATAATGAACATGACCAGAAAAATAATTTCAAAGTTAAGACTGCTTATGAAACTTCAGGCAGGAATATGACGCGTTATAAACATTCCATAAAAAGTTAGTGCATTTAGCCTAGGGACACTTACAAATATGTGGCAAAAGCAACTGGTGAATATATACATGTTAAGTACAAAAAAAAACATCCAGGAGTAGTAATGATCCAAAAGTATCCAGAATAATACATGCAGTATGGCAATTAATTCCAGGGTGCTTGATGCTGTTGACGTTCTTGCCACTCGCTCGGATCAGAACAATCGAATGAATCCAGATAATTGTGTGTGCCATTAGATGAGCCATCTAAAATTAACTTATGATTTCAGAAAACTTATAGCTGGAACTCACCGTAATTTTTTTGAGAAGTGTCATCCTTGTTGTTTGGCAATGGAACTCGAGAATATGAAATTAGGCAGGCAGTGGTCGGAAGAAAAGATATTACAGGATAGTGCATAGTTTAAAACAGGATGAGGTGATAAGGAACACTGAATATTAGATCCAGATAACTATTTAGTCCTAGATGCATTGTTGGTCAATGTATATTTACGTTATTTGCAGGTCACATTTGCTAGAGCTTGATGTTTAAACAAGTCTATGTCGCTGAAGCATGTAAATGCTATCAAAGCTTGTTAACGAATCATCAAAGCTAATTAGTTAATATAGACGACCAGTTTTTATTATCGATTGAGCTAGTATGTCATGAGGACTAATCAATATAACATTACGATGATGCATGTGAGCATTAATCAGAGGACTATTAGAATACAGGGTTAACATAAATATAAAATCGATCGAGAAAGTTGAAGTGGAAATAAGGATTATTGTTAATAAGTTGCGTTTCTTTAGTCGGGCTCACCAATGTAGAATTATGGTCTACTATGATATTAGTACTGCTCTAATAATAGACCTAATCCTACAATTGTAGACTTGTCATGATATAACTACCTAATCTATAAGATCTTACGTGGAAGTCATACCATCGAATACACCAACTCACTGTATCGTATCAATTACCTATACATGATGTAGAACAAGGTTAGGCTAGAGAAGGAACAATATATTTAATATGAATAGAAGATACAAGATAACAATCAGCAAGGACCACGCCTGCATGGCCGAGTCATGCCATCCGATCAACTCTCATTCATTCAATTCATTGTTCGCGCCTTCTCCATCGTTAGGTATTTCCCCGAGTTAAATACTGAATATCTATTTTCTGAGTTGTCTCGTGTTCAGCATTGCGGATTATGTGGTTATTGTCCAATGCCACTACAAACTCACTAACCGCGGATTTTCCTCACCGTTTTGTCGACGGATTTCTTCTTTAGCTGGTGTTTTCTTCCTTTTTATTCCATCTTCGAGAGACATGTCAGGTCTAACTCGGATGTCGGAATTATCGTGACTAAGAGCGCTACTTAACAGGAAATCCTGTTGCTTCCCTGATCCTAGGATTACCTCAAGGAGTTTGCATGGTCGAGATCCAACAATGTCCTCAGTCCTCTTGCCTATTCTAACCAGTATTTTGACCTGAATTCCATTAGAGCTATCTGGTAAGGTACTACGAATATATTCTCCCAGCTTCTCTAAACCATCCGCGTGTCCAATTTTTGGATCAGGATCGTTTGACTCCAGCGATTGCTCACAATAATATTCGATTATATTAAATTCTTCTTCTCAGTCACGCCAGGGTGGGGTTCTCTCTTACTATTAGATTTTGGTAGTGCATTTCGTGACACACAGTGGGATTTGACCAGTGACTGGCTAACCACCTGTGTGCTACATACAGCTTTAATCTTTTCGTAGTCCATTTTTCATTCCACAGGACACTGGGACTATTTAAAGCGGTGACGGTTTTATCCAGATCTTCAGTTTCCACTGGAGGTGCATGGTTACCAATGTTAGTGTCAGGTGGTACTACCCTCCTCGTCAATGTTAACGGAGATTCCCCTTTTCCGTCAGTCGAAGTCGGTTCTTTAAGGCGTCTTGTAACAGCAGGTACTACACTGACACATTTGTCACTGTCAGTGCTCATGTTGTCAGCGCATCCGCCATCGTTCTTCTTACAGGTCAAAGCCAATAGGCTCATAGCCTCCTGTACTAGTAACGTCTTATTTGCACAGCAAAACGTGCAAAGCCAATGTGAGTTAGGCTTCGAACATCTCTTGTATGCACATCT